TTATACAAAATCAAATATGCATAAAGGTCAGTTCTCTATTCACTCCACAGTCTTACCTGTATTCTTCTTCCAGTAATCTAAAATCTTTTCACTTCAACACCTCACTGACATTTTAAGGTAGAATATGATTTTTTATTAAGGTTGCTTGTGTGGTTTTTTGGTTGTTGTTGTTGGTTTTGTTTTGGGGTTGTTTTGTTTTGTTTTGGTTTTGTTTTTTTACTTGTGGATAGGCATTCAACAGTGTCAGTAAGTCTATCTCCAGAACACTGTACACTTTGAAACAGCAGAATTTCTCCTTTCATCTCTTATGGAACGTGCACAACACCCAGATTGCTGACTGCAGTGTGAGTGTGGAGAGCATCTGGTCAAGCAGCAATATCTTCTCTTTTTATGAAGAAGTCCTGGGAACTAGATTTTTTTTCCCTTCATTTCCTCCTCCCTCTAATGCCCCTGTCTCTTTAAATTCTATAAGGTTTTCATTGCCAGATCACTATATAATGTCTAACTAGTACATAAAAGATATGAACACGTCTCTGGGTAAGAGCTTTGTAAAAGGAAACCTATCAGCTATCTACCTTTCCTCTATTTATGTTTAACAAGATGCTTTACTTAAAAAAAGGGAAGTGTTTGGTAACTGTTTCTGTAATACCATCAATATATATTCTTTCATTATGTATGTCTCTAATAGCAAAGAAATGTCTCAATTCAGTTGACTTCTCAGCAAAGCATTTGTTATTTCTCCTTTGATTTCCTAATTTTATCTGCTTTCAAATTCAGTTTGTTCCATCACGCTCAATTCAGATCGCCATATTCAGACAAGCAGCATGGTACCCTGCTGGCTACCCTGGTAGCATTTGTGAGGAATCTATTAGTATTTGTTCTTCCTAAGCCTGCACACCTGGCGTAACAGTCTAAAGAGTTGGAAAACACCTGAAATGTTCATGTCTAGCCCCAAACCAGAAGGATATCTACAGGAAATTTTCATTAAACTATATTTTTACAGACAGTTGACAAATAATGCTGAGATTTTACTCCTTGCCTTTGAGAAAGCAGTGATTTGCAAAGTGTCTTTTCAATTAAATATTATGTCAAATTACTTAATTGTAAATCTCAGTATTCTTCTTCTGAAGAACAAGAACATATTTAGGAAATTCTACTTTTTCTTTACTTCAGAAGTTTATTGTATATAAAATTTCAAAGTTGGCAAAAAGAAGAGCAGAGATACCAAAATTAAGAAATGCTTTGTAAATGAGGATTTAGCCCTCAACCCAAGATGAGCCATGTATCTCTAGATTTCTGTGAAGGTTTTTTCATTAGGTTGGTTTTGGTCTGTTTTTGTTTTTCTTTGTTTCTTTTGGTTTTTGTTGTTGTTGTGGTTGTGGTTTTGTTTGGTTGGTTGGTTGGTTTAGGTTTTGCTTTTTGCTTTTTCAGTTTGTTTTTTTTTGTTTATTTGTTTTTCTGAAAAAGGAATGTGAAGTAACAAAAGTTTTAAAATGCCATTATAAGGGAAGTGCACATTCTTGACAGCTGCATTTTGGGTGCTATAACCACATGTACTACAAGGAAGTACACTAAAAAGTTGGGATTGCTCCATAAAGTGACCATGAAGCTGAAAGTAGAGCTGCTTCAACCACAATTCTATTTCCCATGATTTGTCCCTGTAACAAACACACACACCACAAAAACATACCAAAAGGTATGAATTCAGCTAAGGCACAAGAGAAGAGAGCTGAATATGAAGAAGGCGTGAGAATGAAGTGGAGGGGGAAATAAGATATGTTCTTTTGTGCTTCCAAAATATGGGAGGACATGGGATTTGCTAAAGCAGTGCCTCTCAGTCATTTCTCTTCTGCTTTCTATTGTTTAGAATTGACTGTAGAGATTCAGTACATTACTTTTGTCTTTCCCTCTCCTCCCAGTAAAACTGAATAAACAGGAAAAAATGCAAAGCCCCTAGAATAAACAGTACATGTAAATGTGAATATTCAGATTCAATTCAGCTTTATAAACATCGCTACTTTGCATATTTAGACCTTGGTCTAGTTCAAGTAAAACAGTTCCATCAAGAATATTAAAGTTTGGGATGTAAGAGTAATTCAGCTGTTAGCTCTAGGTGCATATTGGGGTTTTTATTTTTGTCTTTTTTCTTTATAAATTTCTAATCTGGCTTTCCAGGTACGTTGGTATCCATCTTGTGATTTTCAAGTACAGCTCTGAACCAAATTTTGTCATTCATATAACTGTGTTCTCATGCAGTGCCCATTGGCTAAGACAGTGCAAACTGCTATGTTTTTAGCAGGAGCTGTTATTAGACCGACCTGACTTCTGACACATCACTGGCTTTCTCCTAGCAAAGGTGATCCAGCTGCATCTTAGTTGGTGTTAAATTTTTATTTACAGTTCTTTTGGTCAAAGTGCCTTGATGCTGCATTAATCTTGATTAATGCTATTCAAAAATATATACTAAGTTCAACAACTGTGTATTTTTAAAAGGGCATTTTCTTCTATTTTGTGACATTGAAGATATCTCCTTGGATTAACAGGACTTCAAAATGGTGCACCACAGCTTGTGTAGCATCATAAAAGAAAGAAGAGAAAGGAAAAAAGTCTTTCTGATTGTGAGGAAAAAAAAATCAGCTTGATGAAAATGCTCCTGCCACAGTCTGAAATATAAGTTACTCTGATATTAGTGTTTGAGAGATGCACAACTGTGGTGAAAGAAAAGCTTATTCTCTTTCATGCCTCCCATCCCCTTTGCCCTATTTTACTTATGTTCCCTCAGCAATTCTTATGCATTTTTGTTTCAGTTTTGAAAGCAGCATGCTATAAAAGCTCACCCCAACTAAAAAGATACCGGTAAATATACAGTGTGAAGAAAGAAGGCCTCCTCTTCCTGCTAGACCTAATCTGATCATGGTGACAAACAGCCTCAAGGAGTTTTGTACTTCTTCACCTATAGTTATTAAAACCAAAATTTACAAAAGAAGTAACAGCAAGTTTTCTTGAAATAGTCTGGGGAAAAGCCAAACCAAATCAAAACAAAAAGCCAATCTGAAACAAAACCTTAAAACCCAAACAAACAAAAAACAAACAAAAACAAAACAAATAAAACACAACAACAACAAAAAAAACCCACCGCGAAACCAAACATACAGGATAAAACATGCAGGATATTGGGCTTGATCAATTCTCGCTTTGTAGATGGGCTCGCGTAGACAGGGAATCTGTAATTCAATCCTGGACAACCTGCGACCTCTTTTGGTCAATTAACAAAATGAGCACAAGGACAAAAGAATACTGAAAAGCCTTGGTAGCCACCCTTCGGGGAATTAAGCAAGGCTGATCTCTCTTCTAAAGCATCTTTAATTTCCCAAGGAAAAGTGTCTACTCAAACAACATATTATTCACAAATAAAACCAGGGTTTTTTTTTATCCTGCTGAGTACGATGCTCCTTTCAAGATGTTATCTGCAAGGTGTAAGTACTGAATAGAGAAAACTGAAAAGGTGATTCTAATTATCTAAAAAAATTGTCTTATAAAAAGTGCAGCTTTCAAGATCAATAGTATTGTGGCCAGTACCTTGAGCAATAACATATATACTTCTCTCTTCCACTTGAATTTTGACACATTTGAACAGCTGATGTATTACTGAAAGATGAGCTGCAGTATTACTGATGCAGTAATACTGGTTCATCATTCCCATGGCAGAACATGTTTGTATAAGCCAGTATCTGTGAGCATTGCTGTTTTTACTTTTCATAACTTCTCTGACTGAAGCACGATATATTTGTCTATATATACACCTCACCTTCCTCTTGCTCATGAGAATGCAGTGGAGCTTCAGAAAGAATGGTCACGAAATTTGGCACTGCCAATTCAGATCTTCTCAGAGTTAAGCCAAATTAACACGGGAGCAAAATTTGCCTAGTGAAATGGAAAGAGAATTTGCAGTGACCTGAAGACAAATACATGCACTGTGCAAAAATCCGTGTAGAATTTCAAAGTTGGGAGTTTAGGGGGATGGATTGTCTTTTTTATCCTAGATTTGTGAGGACGTTGTAATGGAAACTGTGTTCTTATATATGGAAGGAAACGTTTCAAGAGTACAGAGAACACTTTAAAAAAAAAAAAAAAAAAGGGAAGCACATCCTCGAAGATGGGCAGAGATACAGACCGAGTTCTGGGCCAGAGAGCAACATCTTCTCAAGCGTGGCTGGAGTGCCTGCGTGTGGGTGTGATCATGCACATACATTTCCCTCCAGTCTACCTTGGAAACGCAGCTGTCATGTGAGCTGTAAGCCAGTCTCAAGGTATGCCCCGAACCTGCGGGAGGGCAGGCGAGTGCGAGCGCAAGCACATGCGCACCTTCGCCAGGGCCGGGGCTCTTAGCGCAAAGTGGACAGGATTTTAGCTAGAAGTTCAAAAAAGGTCACTCTGTGCGAGCTTCTCTCGCCTCCCTCACTGCCAAGGTAACACACACGGTCACGGGGAAGCGCACAGGCACAGAGAGACACTTTTTCTTGAAACTAGAGACACACGACGCGGCCCTCTCGCCAGAGCCCTACCCTTCACAGCTGATTTTTAAGAAGTGTCCATAAACCCCCGGCAGCGCGGCGTCCCCCGTCCACTCCCCTTGCACTGCACCGCCCTCACAGCCCTGCGTGACCGAGCCCTGGATCCGCCGAAGGCCGGCTCTTCCTGCCGCGCCGCGCGTTATTCATGGCGCGGGGCGGGCCGGCGACCGCGGCACTATATAGGGCGTAAGGACAGCAGAGGGGACAGTTGGGTGCGGAGTGGCGGCGAGTGGAGGCGGTCTGCGCGGCTGGCAGGCAGCACGGGGAATAAAACGAAGGGAACCTCTCTTTTTCTTTCGCCCCATCTCTGTTTTTCCCTTCTCGGTACTATCTCCTTTTCTGAAATGTTTTTGGACTAAGTTTTTTTTTTTTTCTGACCGTCTGCGCTTGGCTGGTTTTTTTTTGATTTTTTTTTTTTTTTTAATTTAAGTTTTGCGAGGTTGGGTTTTTTTTTTTCCTTTTTTTTTTCTGAGTGTTGTATGTGGCAAAAAAAGAGAAAAGTTACTGTCGAGCCAAATAATTCAGGCGCTCCGCAGGAAGGAGGCGGGAGAAGAGAAGGAAAAAGTTGCTTTTGTTGCTAGCGAGCTTTTGCTGTCTTGATGTGACTACGGGCAAGCGACTGCACAGAGGGCCGGCGTGCGAGTACCGGCAGCGCGGCTTCCCGCCTCCTCACGCCGGCAGGCTTGCGAGCGGCCCGCGGCTCCGAGTCCCGCGGCTCGGGCTCCGCCGCTCCACTCCCTCCGCCCGCAGCGGCGTGTCAGCGTCCGTGCCGCTCTGCCCGTCCCGGGCCCACCCGGGGTGCGCGGGGGCGGCTCCCGGCGGTCCCCTCCGCCGGTTGCCATGGTGCCGCGGCCCGGCGTGCTGTGGGCAGTGGCGGCGGCAGCGGCACTGGCGCTGCTGGTACGGCGGGCGGCGGCGGCGCTGGCGGGGCCGGTGGTCCGCTGTGAGCCTTGCGACGCGCGGGCGCAGCAGCAGTGCAAGCCCCTGCAGCCTGACTGCACCGAACGGGTACGGGAGCCGGGCTGCGGCTGCTGCCTCACCTGCGCCCTGGGCCCGGGGCAGCCCTGCGGCATCTACACGGAGCGCTGCGGCGCGGGGCTCAGCTGTCAGCCGTGGCGGGAAGAGGCGCGGCCGCTGCAGGCGCTGCTCGAGGGCCGCGGACTCTGCAACAACGCTACGGCGGGAAGCAAGCTGCGGGCCTTCCTGCTGCCGGGACCGCATGCTGCAGGTAAAGGGCTGCGGCCGGGGTGGGAAGCGAAGGGGTGGCTTTCATGCGCGCCGCCATCTGACTTAGCTGCTTTCTTGTTGGGCTGTTTGGGCTGGTTTTTTCTTTTGTTTGTACGGGTTTTTTTTTTTTTTTTTGGTGTTTTGGTTTTGTTTGTTTGTTTGTTTTGGTTTGGGTTTTTGTTTGGTTTTGGTTGGGGTTTTTTTGGGGTTTTTTTTTTGTGGTTTTTTGGTTTTTTGTTTGTTTGGTTGGTTTTTTGGTTTTTTGGGGTTTTTTTTTGGTGCGTGCGTGTATGTGTGTCGCTTTCTTTTGTTTTAAGTTACCCAGTGAGCAGCACGAGCGGGAAGGCGTGGGCGAGCTCGCGGCAGAGCTCTGTCTCAAGAAACGGGCCTCGCTCGCTGCCCGCCTGCTGCAGGCCCGTGGGCGGGGGGCTCTCCCGGTAGCCAGGTAGCCGAGCTTGTACCGTTTTGAAGGCGTGCTTTGGGCGAAGGAAAGGACAATTTACCTCTTCCACCTTATTTATGTATACACTGGTTTTCTTCAGCGCTGATGCTGAGAAATAGGTCCTCGCAAAAGAGGCAGAGCTACTTTTTTTTTTCCTTAAAGAAAAAAAAAAAAAAAAGATAGGGGAGGAGGGATTGTATGTGGCTTCTGCGAGTGCATGGGACTGGCGGGCTAGAGAGCCTAGATGGAGAGCGAGAGGGTATAATCTTCGCCGTTTGTCTCCAGTGTACCTGGAAACAGCGTGAGCAAAAAACTCGAGAGATTGGGGTCTAACTGCTGCAGTGCAGCGTGGGTAAGTCAGGAAAGTCTTAAGCACAGAGAGGAAAAGACAAAAAAAAACCCAACCAAACACAAAAGACGAATTTAAATATCCCTTTGTCCTGGAGAAGTAGTTATTCAGAACAAAGCGTTTGCACAACAGTGTTTAAGAGCACGTTGTTTTTTTGTCTGTACTGTAAATAAATCCTTGGTCAAACGAGGATTTCCGGTACCTCTTCCATGTCTTGTAAGTGAGATGCTCACAGAACGGGTTTTGTTTGAAAAGGAAGGGATGGTTGGAAAAAGTTCTGTTAGCATGCACATTTTAAAACTTAAAACAGGGAAACTTGGGATTCAGATCGAGAGAGCACAGTCTCTCTATTTAATTAAATAGTCTCTCATTTAATTAAAATCTTTGCTAACCAACAGCAAGCATGTTAACATTTATTTAATAGAAAAGTGTGTAAAAAGGCATTCCACTGTTTGCATTTTTAAAAAGCCAGAAGATTTTCTGCCAGGTTTTAGGGACTCTGACTAGCCATTCCTTAGCTGAGAAAGTGGCACCAATGCTCCAGTTAACTGCCTGTTAAAATAATAGGAGGTGCCTTATTATAATTATTTATGTGCTGCTTCTAAGCTGTGACAATTTGAATGAGAGTTTGGATGTATTAACTGAACATTTTAATCTCCTTGGAACATCTAGTAGCCTCCTTCATCATATGGGCTTGGTTCATCCTGTTCATCATTGGAGTAACACTGGAAACAAGAAGCGTCTCCTCGGTACTTAGGAGTTGGTGGCATTTAATTTACGGGTAGTGCTTTCAACAGTGAGTGTTAGAGAAGGAGAAAGGGAAAGAGAGTTGTACTTAGCTGAAAATCTTTCCATTTTCAGCTGAATTCTTATTTCTGCGTTCTTGGCTGAGGGAGAACTCCGATTTTGAAATCACTAGAAACTTTTGATTCCTTAAAAAGTGCATACAGTTCACATTCAAGGAGTGAAGCTTGCAAACCTGGTGCGCAAGAAGGAAGAAGTACCCAGAACCTATGTTACACATAGTACTTACTTCCTCATGAGGACCACTCCACTCCCAGCTTCCAACACTCCCTAGTGTACACTTCTCTGAGCAGGATCACATAATTTCCTTTACATGCAGCTAGGTCCTGCATCACATGCTATTCTGCTGGTCCTTCCTAGTTCATGGAAATTGATAAAAGTTGGTACAGGGTAAAGTATATTACAGTAACATTATAACAGACTCTCTCAGTTGTTTTTTTTTTTTTGTTTTGTTTTTGGTTTTTTTTTTACACAAAAGTGTTATATAGTAGTGTGCATTTGCAACCCTTTCCTTTTAATCTCATTAAAATAAAAAGAGAATGAGTAACTTTCACAGCATTCTGTTTCTCTTATGAGGATGTAAAGCTAGCATGGCACCAAGTTTTGTGAAACTGAGTTAATAAAATATGCTTTACAGTTTAAAATGTGGCAATATGACCATTTTAATCTGACGTGTAAGAAGTACTATTGAACTATGGTGGCCTCTCTGAACTGAAATGATCAGACATGGTCATCAATGGTGATCAATGCATGTTAAGAATGTTTTCTAATTATTTTTGGTAGAAGAAAAAAACTAATGAACTGATTAGGACTGCAGAAAACCTAGATTCAGGTTTATAACATTTCTTGCAAATTTCATTGAGAATGTGGAGGAAAAATACTACTGTTTCAGAACAGTAAACCACCAAAAATATGTTCAAATACCACAGAGAGTCTGAGTTAAACCCACAAAAGCCAGGAAATTTGGACTTAGGACTTAAACTTCCTTAATGCTGTAGCACTGTAATTTGGATTTTCCTGGTCGACTATGTCTATTGCCAGCAGTGGCTGTGCTAAAACCACCAGTACCAGCATACTAACTCCGAACCCTCTTCCTATGTTCCTTCTCCCATTGCTGTGTATTGGCAGTGCCACTGTGCTCCCTGTCTAGAAATATTTAGCATCAACAAACTATGTGAACGTGGACTTTTAGCACTGAATTTCTCAGGTTTTGTGATTTTTTTTTTACTGAGTCATCAAGTATAATTTTAGTATAATTTATAATTTTATTGGATGTTATCATTGTGCACTCCCAATAGGATTACCTTAGAAAAAAAAGAAGGTGGTCACTATCTAAGACAAAACTAGTGGGTACTGCTATTACTTAGCTGTTAGGAATTACTTAACTGGAAAAATTATCTGGAGGAAATGCAAGTAGTTACATTTGCACTACAGGAGTCTCCTAACAGAGAGAAACGCAGCATAAACAAATACCTTAGAAGGTACAGGAACACTGAACTTATGGAGTATGTTAGAAAAATGTGCTTCTCCTAAGTTTTTGTGGATGGTAGCTTAAAGAGAAAATATTTTTGAAGCTCAAGATGAAAACAGTGTTTTGTCCTTAGAACTACTACAGAATGAATAGCAGTTTTTGTCTATTACCTTTAAAATGTGTTTTGTACACCAAGATTTTTTTTATTTTAATAGCAGAGAAATGAAAGTGTGCTGTTCTTTTTCTTCCCTGTTCTGTGTGTTGAATAAAGTAAGGGAAAAAAAAAAAAAAGGCTAATTAGAACCAGGAAACTCGCAAGGCTAGAGTTGAGAGTATTAACGTCTTAAAAACAAAATGAAACAAAACAAAAAGACCCAAAAAAACCACCCAAAAACCTAAAAACTGCCTTGGGACAGGCAGAGCCACACAGCAGCCCGTCGCGTTAATCTGGAGTTGATGAGGTCAGCAGTAGTGGAGGGGAGGGATCCCCGCCCCGGCGCCGCCGGGGGTGCGGCGGCTTCGCTCCTGCGGTGCAGGCCTGCCGCCGGCGGGCGGCGCTGCAGCGCAGTCGGGAGCCAGTGGCCAGCGCGGCCGTGCTTCCTGGGACAGTGGCTGTGGCTGGTTTCCCGGCCTTGGGTATAGCCTGCACAGGCGATGAAAATTAAACACATAGCCTAATCTAGTGGTTTGTTGATTGAGGAGAGACCTCATTGTGCTCTACAGCTTCCATACAAGAGGAAGCAGAAGGGCAAGCACTAATCTCTTCTTTCTTGTGACCAGTAATAGGATCTGAGGGAATGGCATGATGCTGTGTCAGGGGAGGTAGAGGTTAGATATTAAGGAAAGGTTCTTCACTTTTCTTAATAAGGTGGGTGGGCTCTGCAGCGAAGTGGTCTCACCAGCAAGACTGACATCATTCAAGGAACATTTGGACCATACTGTCAGGCACATGGTTTGATTCTTGGTACTGTCCTTTGCAGGGCCAGGAAGTGGATTTGAGGAGCCTTGTTGGTCTCTTCCAACTCAGGATATTCTGTGATTCTATGTTTCTATGCCCTTGCAGACACAGCTGGCAGCCAAGTAACATTGTTTCTTCTGCATTTGTTCTTTTTGAAGGAAATTTCAGCGCTTCAGAGGAAGACAGTAGTACCAGCAGCATTGAAAATCAGGCCATTCCAAACTCTCACAGGGTGCCAGATTCCAAGTCACATCCACCACACATCAAAGTAGATATCATCAGGAAAGTGCAAGCTAAAGATACACAACGCTATAAAGTTGAGTATGATTCGCAGAGGACGGATACATTGAATTTCTCTTCTGAATCCAAACAAGGGACTGAATATGTAAGTCTTTTTTGTAAATAGAAGGGCATTTGCCAGCCTGTGAATGTGTATGTGTGTGTATACATATGCATGCTGTGCATATGAAAAGATCAATAATTACACTAAATAGCTAAATAGTGGTAATTGTTGCAGCCTTGTAGGACATTCTGGCATTTTAACTGGTAAATCTATTGACGCAAATGCATACACAATCAGCAGACCAAGAAGACAAGAACACTGTGCTCAGGAAACACATAGGACTAATGTAAAGATGTTTACATCAATACAGGCATGACTTGCACTAAAGTTTCTCAGGGGCTGAAAGTTCTTGTTCCTCCCTGTAATTGTCACACATTTGTGTGAGTGGACTTGGAGTGCCGTCATTAAACTTGGTTGCAAACAGTATAATTGAATTGCAACAATGGAAAAAAAGATGTTTTACTTTGAGTGTATTGGCACTGTGTTCGTACACTGCCTAGTGCAAATTAAGGGAGATAAATTTAGGCTGAGCTGAGGATTAGGGTCTTGACTAGTCAGTCACTGTATGACATGCTGAGCATCACCTCCACTTGCAGCTGCTGTAGGTGCTACTGCTTAAATGCAAGTGGTCACATGAGATGCCGTTGCTTCCTACTGACCGTGCCCAGTGAATATGCAGGGCAGTTGGAGTGTGGTTAATCTGAGGGCAAGAATAATTCTCTTCCTGGACATCCATCTGATAACCTGTGCCTTAGGCCAGATGGCTTGAAAAATGCATCTGGATATACATTGGCATTTTATCAAATCATGCATGGCAAAAACCATCTTCAAAAGAAGGTTTTGAAACTTGTATGAGGTGAAAACCTCTGCCTGAAGAGAGTGTGGCTTCCAAGAGTAGCTTCGTTTTTAGTTTGTCACTGATGTCCAGCCATCTAGTTATTCAGTGTCTGCCTTCCAGTATGTCCTCCTCCCAAAAATGTGAAGTAAAAGTGCCATCACTAAAAGAATGAAGGTTGGTCGCTTGAGGAAATATATTCTTAACTACGATGAGTAGTGATAGTTGGGTCCATGAGTAAAGGTATACCAGTTTACCAAGGCTGCTGGTTGTCTTTAAGAACTTGAAATAAGTCCATCAAGGACAGGTGCTTTTGTCAGCAAATGCTCTTCTAGCTGTGTCTGCATGTTAGCTTTTGATACTGGTCTGGCTGACTTTGGAAGCTTGCTTCAAAATAAAAAAAAATTAAATCTGTTGAACTTTTTGTAGGCCTAATTTGGGATCAAATCTCTGAATGTCTGTCACTTGCAGTCAGTGCATTTGAGCAGTAAGAGGAGCCATTTAAAGCCCGTGCTTGGAACTTGTGAGACCAGTTCAGAAAGAAAATGCGAAGGCAACAAGGGAGGTCTTTACTGACCAAAAAACTCCATTTTAATATCCAACAGTACTATGGATATTGTATGCTTTCAGACACTCACATTAAAAGGTCGTTTACATGAACAGACTATTAATACTGCTACTTGCAAGTATGAATGTCATTATTTCACTAATTAAAAACAGCACCAAATGAGTTTTTGTGTCAATGTAGCAACTTAATATTTTTGTGTAGCTAAGCTCAGAGTTTGTAGGCTGTGACCCTTGAATCCTGATCCCACTGCTGACACTGACTGCCTTCTTGGCCTCTGGCAAAATGTGAAGCCCTTTGCTCTTGATTTTCTGACTTCAAAGTGGGGCCCATCATGTTTTACTCTGCCTACCCTGGAGAGCTACCGTGAGATTAGTGTTTGAGACACACTGGTTGGTGTTTGAGACATTCTCTTAGAAGTGCTTCTGGAAGCTCTTTTTGACTCATTGTCCTAGAGCTAATCCTCACTACTATGTTGTCAGCCTTTTGCAGATGAAGAAAGAGAGGGAAAACAGTGACGTACTTATCTAATGAGACTTCTGTGTGCAACTGGTCCTCTGTATGACTGCATCTATTTGATTCAGTTGAAATTGGGAATTGTTGTCCAAGTAGAGGTATTTTATATATATATACATTATGCCAAACCACTTATTTTCAATTGAATCAATTTAATTTAAGCTTTTAAATCCATCAGAATCACAAAAAATCAAATGTCATTGGGGAAGGCCTATCCTGTAGTGTATTTCCAGTGGCCTACTTTCTTCTTTTCCTATGTGGTGCAAGGCAAGCTTTTCCAAACTTAAGTTGTGTTTATGTGACTGATTTATATACTGGTTAAACCTTCCCAAAGGTATTTGTGACTGTGATTTCAATTGGAAATGCCAATATGTGCCTCAGCATAGCATAAGACCTTCAATCTTTAGAAATCAATTTATCTTGAATAGAGCAGAACTAAGTTTTTTTTGTGAATTATCTGCTTTTGACATATTCAGCCATCTCTTTGTTTTAGTGTATTTGTTTGGATTTGTACTTTCTTTTGTCCTTTAAAGATTTATTAACTCTCGAGTGAGAGATGGAATTTGGGAGTGAAGTTTCTCTTTGTTTTCTAAAACATGCTTGTTAACAGGGTCCATGTCGTAGAGAAATGGAAGACACTTTAAACCACCTAAAGATACTGAATGTCTTGAGTCCCAGGGGCTTTCATATTCCAAATTGTGACAAGAAGGGATTTTACAAGAAAAAGCAAGTAAGTACAGAGTTTTTATCATTTTAATTAATGCATTTTACCTCTTCTGCATCTTTGTCGAAGGATCTTGCCAGAAAGTGCATTATGTATAATTTTGCAGAAGAGCTAGTTCATATTCAGTTTTAGGACCTGATCCAATAGTGCTGAGCCTTGTCAAGTGGGGATAATATTTTTATTTTTTGTTGATCATGACAACAGATTCATTTGAGAAACTGCATACCTAATCACACATGGGTTGTCTGGTGTCCTAGATACTAATGCCCTTTGGTTTAAAAAAAGCAGTGCCTCTACAATAACCCACAGAGCTAATGTTGCAGTCACCATATGACTCCAGTAGATCAATGCTTTGAATTGTAAATAGCTGCTTGAGAATTCCTCGAAGACATACACTGGATCATATTACATAAAGCAACTTGAGAAAGGTATGTATCTGTCCTTTATGTGCTTCACAGATTGCTTCCAAAATCCAAGTCATGTTACCGTGAAAATGATACTTCTAGTAGTTACTCTGCAGCAGGGATGGCTCCTCAGCTCTTTCTGGTTCTGGGGTTGAGACCTTTCTTGGCAAATGCCAACCAAAACTGGGTTTGCTTTAGTTGTGTTGGACTGAGCTACAGCAGCATACTCCATTCAGTGCTGTCATTGAAGCTCGTTCAAAACTTGGGGAGGTGCAAGATGTGTCAGGTTCTTTGTTTAGTGTGTACATCCGATCTAATTTCAGTGTTTAGTTAGTGGCCTGCCTCCAAATATATATTTCTTGGTATAATTCCAAAACTTCCTGAATTCAAAGGTTTCTTTAAGACTTTTCTCAAGGACAGATTTTGTTTGTGGACCATCATGTCTTTTCCTTCAGGTTTACACAAATAAGCCTCTCTATCTCTGGTAACCAAAGGAATGATTGACTCTGTGTTGCTAGCTAATGCAGTTCATTGGTTGGAAGTGAGAGGTCAACCTCTGACTAGGCAACCTTATTTTAGGAATGGTATCTCTCAATTTTTTGGCTTTCAGCTTTCTTAGAAACAGTCTTTCCATTTCTAGTATTCTGTGGAGCTCTGCAATAAGCTGTCAGTCTCAGGTGGGGAATTTTTAACAGGGGTGAGATTTCCAGCCTTCCTTTTTGCCGCCATCAGTCAGCATTTACAGTGCTGTTTGACTTTTGGTACATGCTGCTGAGCTTTTCTATGCTTCCATGCTTTTTCCTGAGCAGGTGGTGGCAACTCCCAAGCAGGAGAAGTTTCTTTTTGTTGCCTGGAGCTTTGAGAAGCCTGTATCCGCCACGTTGTGCTGTGTGTAAACTAGCAGAGGGCAATTTTCACATCTCAAGCTGCTTGTTTTCAGAAAATTCATGTGGCTTCTATGCAGAATGAGACTAGGACTATGTTTTTTGCCTGTGTCATAAAAGTATTTTCTTAGCTGCTTTAGAACAGCAAATCATTTGACTGTATTCAAGGCACTCAAGTGTGCTGTAGCCTTTTTCCTTCTCTATGTATTATTGAACAGTAGTTCTATATGCAGAAGACTGTATTTACTTTGTTCAGTAGATCTTCCTTTCATCTTTCTTCAGACTCTAAGGTTTTTCTTTGCAAAAATGTGGTGGTTTGCAAGTAATCTCTGGCATTGTGTGTAGTAAATCAGATCTGCAGTAAGCACGTATTAAAGTAGCTTACTTGAAAGGAGGACTGTACTTTAAAGTACAGTCATAGTTCTATCACCAAGGCAAAAAAAAAAAAAAAAGAAAAAAAAAAGAAAGAAATACAAAGAAAAAATAGGAAAGACAAGATAAAAATCTTATGTAGTATTTGTTCCTAGAAGCTGATTTATGGGAATAATGTGTTGGTACAAAGCAAACAGACACTTTTGTCCTCTGTGTTGTCTGTGCTGCCTGGAAACTTTTAAAATTTCTTTAGGAAATGTTCCTGTACTATGTGCAATAGCCCATCCAGTCAGCCTATATAGAGAATGAAATGACACTTTCATGTCTAGCCAGCCTTGTCAAGCACTGTGCCAGTTTACACAGGTCCAGTAGTTTCAATGGTAGTTTGAGATGACTCAGGGTCTTGCAGGAGATGCTCACAAAGGGAGTTCACATGAGTAAACATTCTACCTGAAATTCACTTGAGTTGCTGATTCTGTAAATGAACCATGACAATCCTGGGAACAAGCCCTCAGAGATGGGACTTACAGAGGAAACCTGCTTCTCTCACCAACAAAATACAAACTAAAAATAATAGTTGCCCTCATAGAATTAACTTCCAGGAAAAAAACATCAGTTTGAGAAGTGTGTGAGTCCTGTCCAGATCAAATTAACTGGTCCACAAGGAGTTGTGACAATTGTGTTTGGAGTTTTTTTTTTTTGAAGCATCAACATGTGGGTCTGATATTTTAGATACTGTGAGCAGGTGTCTAATCTCATTAACAGAATGTTATGCTGTTTTATTAATTCTCTTCATGCCATTAATAGCCATGTTCAATCTGTAATTGAATTATATTCTATTGTCACAAAATTCAGAATAGTAGGTTAACGAGTAGACAGTAAATCCATTAAAAAATGACTGTAAGCTAGGCATTTTGAATTCTAGAAACAGTTGCCAAAACCACTGTCTAGGATGAGAATGTAGTAGGTTTGGGATTGTAGGAATCTGATAAATCATGATCATATTGGCACCATTAAAACTCATTCAGGAGGCACTCTCATATTCTGCCTTCCTGGTCATCTGGTCTTCCAACCAAGTTAAAAGGACTTATTTTTCATGACATTTGTAGAAACCGACTTTTCAGGAACAACCATGAAGAATAACTTGTGTCTGTGAAACACTGCTTAGAATATAAATTTGCGTCAGGGTATAATATGAAAAATATTTCATACCTTTTTTTTATATATATAAGCTTTAAAATCAGACCTGTTAAAATTTATAGTTCTTTGTCTTAATCACACATGTAAGGTTGTACTATTCAATTGTGCTATATAGGTATATATATGCATAATTAGTTGATACAGGCACATTCCTACCCCTTTGATGAAATTAGAATTAATATATATGGCAATTACTAGAATTGCCCCATGTTTGTATACTTGAGCCAGATACTTATCTAAATGTGAGCTGGCATTGTTTCACTGAAAACAGAGATGCGCTTGCCAGGAGCCAAAACAGCCTGAGGTATATGTCAATGTTGTCTGCAGTCTGTTCCTGAAGACCATGGTTGTAGCTCCATGGAGTCCACTGGACTGACCAGGAATTCAGTGGGATACCATATGCTTTGCTGTGCCCCATAAATGTCTCTGTGGTATTTCTTTGTGGAAGGGAGAGGAGCAGGTGGCATGGAAGATGGCAGCTGGTATTTCTATCAGAAGTAATTAGTCTCCACTGCTTGGGCAGTTTTCCAACTTTTTAAACTTATGAAGTCATACAGAATATCTAGGCAGAGCCTAGAAATGTATGTGGATTACAAAATTCATAAGAGCAAATATTTAGATATGTATGTTTTTCCATATGACCTGTTTACCACTTCTGTGGAGTGTTGGCTGTTTCAGGATAAAAGCATCACTTTTTACTTTTAATCAGAGGTGCTCTACTATTGACAGCATGGCTGAGTGGGTAGGAAAAAACCACTTGGGAAAGATAAGTTTTCTCAATTGTGTTCTTTCAGCTGTAGAATGATCTAAGGGTTTTGCTTTTCAAATGGATTGTCTAGAAGAAGTAAAAACTAGTAGGGAAGGTGTTTCTGAAGATTAACTTCATGTAGTAATTACTTCTGAATATTGATTGGGCAATTGTTAAAAGCAATCAAAGCCTCCAACACTGATTCGTAGGCTTGCATCACTCTCAAAACAGATGATCAATTTGTTTTGAGAGTGATGCAAACCTACGAATCAGTGAGAGTTGTGCAATATACTTCACATAGTACTTCTAAAAGGGGAGGCTATGTTACTATTATTAGCAGAAATGTAGTTTCATTGCCAAATCACCAGCCTGGCAGCCAGAAGCCCTATGCTTTTTGGGCTTCATCTGTGTCTACTTTGTTGGGAAAACAACTCTAGAAGTGCTGGCTCTGTTTACTTTTTGTAAAATTTAATTATGCAAATGCTGTTATTAATTCCTCTGTTTTGAGCATGAAGAATTTAAGTCATTGAATGTTAATAATACTTAAGCTAGAATCCAGTCTATTCACCACCAAAATTGAAGAAAAATTTCCATTGACATCAGTGGACATTGAGCAGTCATCCATGGAAATCCTGGAGAATACATGTAAATTCTAGTCAGGCTTTTAAAACAATAAATATAAATTTTAGGACTTCTGTTTAAAGATTTAGTAATAGATAAGAACTGAAGTGCAGGTAACCGTTTAGGTCAGTGAATTATTAATGTAGCTGTTCTCTCAGTAGGTTTGGACTTCTTTACCCTCTTCTAAAACTAAGTTGATATGTATGTTAAGCTGGACCTTGTCATCTTGCTGCTGTCCATTTTCAGAGGGCTAATGCAGAAGGACTGCAGATTTGTAGAAAATAAGACATTGCATTATTTCTGCATTGGGCGTTTTACTCAATAATATATCAGAAGGGTGGATTAATTTGCAGTTATGCTGAATAACATTACTTAATTTACAGTAAAATAAAATAAACAAGATAATGACTTGTTTGAAAAATTTGTACCTAATGTGTGAGCTGCTTCCATCTCTCTTTGCAAGGTCTTAGTGAAGACTGCCTAACCTACTCCATGCTGCCACAAATTAGTTGGCTTATGGGCCAGTGTGCTGGTGTAGGCTGTTCCAAAGTGTTCTGTATTCCAGAACTCTCCAATTCTATCCAAGATAGCACTCTCACCTGAGATACTAGACTAGAAATGGAAAGGATCAGTCACTATGAGCAGCATGTAAAACCCAACACTTGCTTCATGTTTTCTTGTGTACCTGCACATGGAAAAGGTACTTATGTGAGCCACTGACATAGCCTCCTGAGACACTGGGCCATGCCTATGAGCCTCTGGAAAAAGAAGTAGAGGGATAGTGGTGAAGTTTACAAGATTGTACCAGCCTGAACTTCTGAAAACTTCAATTACTCTGAATGTGATCTCAGAAGCAACAATTGTTCTGTTTGAATAGATTTGACAGTGTTGAGGGACATAAGTAGCACCAGTCCAGCCAGTCTTCCTTCATATTGGCAGTGCAACAGACAAAACCACAGGAAATTGGGTGTGTTTGTGTCACTGCCTCTTTTATGAGTATGTCCTGAGTAAACAGCCACCTTTGTTTGCATTTGAAGCAAATTCTGTATCGCCAAATCTCAAAACATGAGCTGACAGGAAGGTTGTGTCTTGACAGTGAGGCTGACCATTGCAAACTTAAGTAAGATTCTCAATGTATCTTATGAATGGGTAAAACCCTTGCAATGTCTTAGAGGTTCATGGTAATGTAACTGTGTCCAGGGTTGCATACTGAATGCAGCCTGCCTCATGTTATCTCTTTTAGTCTAGCTTTTACCATTCTTAGTTCCTTGGGAGGATCATTGCTTACTTAGTGTGTAGTAGACTTTATAATGCATATTTATTGCATTGCTGCTTCTAAAGAGGTTCAGTGTTATTGCCTGTGATAGTTTCAGGTTGGTCAGCATTGCTGGTGAATTCCAACAGTTAACTTAAAGCTAACATGTTACAGACTAGTAGATACACTAATTTTTTGATAGGAAAATACATGTGTAAAGTTCTAGTCCACCTAGCAGATTTTGCATTAACTATACTATAGAAGGATTGTATCTGTTAATAAGTGTCAGCTACACTTCTGAATTTCTTTCAGTAAACAGATGCAAACCAAGTGTGCTTCTTGCTGCAGTAGTTGTCTTTGCCAGACTTGTGTTTTAGTGTAGAATATATCTGCTAAATTTTTTTTCTAAATATGGGTCCCAGTCACTAGCCCATACTGTTGAATGGTATTCAAAGGGGGCAGCTGTGCTGCGAAATATGATAGGGAGCAATTAATAAGCTACTGAAGTGCAGGTATCAAAGGAGCAGGAATCCCTGTTGTCTAATACTGTGAAGAAAACAAAATTCATGCTAACTGGGTCTTTTATTATGTTTCAGTGTCGCCCATCTAAAGGCCGAAAAAGAGGTTATTGCTGGTGTGTGGATAAATATGGCCAGCCACTTCCTGGGTATGATGGAAAGGGAAATGGAGATGTCCACTGCTATAACTTGGAAAGCAAATGAGGGCTGGGTGCCAGCTCTTCTGGCATCTGTGCATGGCCACTGGACCTCACAGAGACCTTGGAGGGGCTGGGCAAACACTGTGGGACTGCACTGTGTGTGGAGTAACAATCTCTGCCTCCTGCAGCAGATGGGGAGTTGCAGCTTCTGTGGATGTTACTGCAACTGCACCCTGCCACCGACACACATCAAGCTTCCTATGGATGTGTAGGGAGCTCTGAATTCCCATGTAAACCTGCACTATTGATACCCAGGGAGAGAAAAACAAAAGGCACTTCAGAATGGAATCAGGGAGTCTCCACTGACTTTTTAAAGAATTGCCTGTGACCAATTTGATCCCAAAAGATTTTGGCTTTTTTATTTTAAAGAATTTATAAACATTAAGCTTGTAAAAGTATTGAAAAGAAAAACAAAACCAAAAAACCTGCAAGGATTTAAAGGTAAAGCTTTTTTTACATGTCTGATGGGAAACTTGTCTTCACGGGTAAAAAGTTTTATAAAAATCTCAAAGAACTTTTAAAAGAAATGTATTTTTAAGATAAAGACATGGCTATTTTTTTCTGTAAAATATATTATAAATATTCTGTTAGTCCGTATTTAATATAATTTTTTAAAATAAACTTTATTTAAATGTAACGTGAATACCAAATATTACACAGTAATTCTTATGTATACATGTGTATGCAAAGAGAAAGTAAGGTTATGGAATGATTTACAAATATGTTTAAGTCTCTGTGCATATACACTGACCCGTTCCAGGTAAAAGAAATGATTTTTTGGAGCAAAGGAAGTGTTTCAAGAAGGGATTGAGTTTTATTGTTTGATATAACTACAAATGCCAAGATAATATTTTATTTAAATTATTTTATTGATAATTCTAATGTACCCATCACTGAATTATGCCACTGGAAAGGATAGCAATTGTACTGAAGCTCTTGGTAAAGCTTTCACCTGTCTGTACATTGCTTCAATTTGTGCAACAGGGCTTACATTTCTTCCATTTACTGCTCACACTAATATAGAATATTCATTGACAAAAAATTGCCATTACAGTACTCCTCTTTGTATTTGTTTATTTATTGTGAAAAGGTGTATCTATTCTGTGTTGTCTTGGTACATTCTACCAAAGCACTTACTCTGTATGAGGAACTCCTGTTGAAAACAATGTCAACAAGATGGGGGGATTTTGGACCCTGGGTGTTGAGACCCATGGGTTTCATTTATGTGACACACAATTGTTGCTTGCTTTGACTATGGTAGAAATCATTTGCCTGCATCTAAGCATAGAAAAAGAATCATTGGGTTTTAATAGTTAAATTCACAATGTGCCATGGTGTTATATGTGTTTTTATTGGAAGAGATTTGGTTTTGTTGTGGTATATGATGCTTTCATCATGTAAGGAAGACTTTGGCAACATTTTTTTTTTGAGGCTGATTCTTTAATGTACTTTGTGAAAAATTCTGTATGACAATGAAATTTGGATAAGGAAAGGTGGCCTGTGAAATGTATCATCTCTCTGGAAAATAATGCTATATTTTGTATATGTATTTATTTATATATTTTAGATAAATATTTTATATATTTATATAAATATATATTCTTATATGTCTCACTGTAAATGTTTGATGTCACTTTGATGTAGAAAAAAGAAGCCATCAACACTGTAATTTCTTGTTGGGTTGGGAACTTCATGAAGACTATGGACATTGGGTTTTCACCTGCTGGGGCTAGGCACTGTGTTGATGGAGGAGAGGCTGTGGTGCTGAGGAGCCCATTCCTCTCCCACTGCATGAATTACAACCATCCTTGTTCCTGCCAGCAAATTTCTGTCTAATGAAATGAGTTCATATCATTAAAACTGAAATTTTATAATCTCATGGTAAGAAAAAAGTTGTACATGAAATTATGTTTACTCCAGGTGAATACAGGTTTCCTGACACATGGTTACAGAAAGCTTTGTGAGATGAAGATTTATTGCAATATTTTTATTGCTAAAGCAGATCTAATGCCTGCAAAGATATGTTGGCAAAATAATAAATGCTGGGCTTTTATTTATTTTTTTAAAGAGTTTTAAACCAGTTCTTTTCAAATAATGTCACAGAGAGAGAAAAAAGTTGTATATACACCAATATTTGGGCATATAATCATAGATAAGAAAATAAGGGTTTGATTCATTGAAGTGAGTTATTATTTTGCCTCTATTTTTTAAAATAACTATATGGTGAGCCTTCTGAAAACAAAAATCAGTTTCTTGTCAAAAGTGATAGATGTTTTGCAAGGCACATTTTGCAAGTATGTATGGTGTTTTAACAGCCTGTGATAGGCTTGATGATTCGGGTATTTTGTCAAGTATTTTAATTTTTTATGTTTTATCCTACAATTAAAAACAAATAAATATAGAAGAAACTGGCTAGTAGAGGTCATTAAGCCATGTATTATGAAAAAACCCCAAACAAGCTAGATCTCAAGGAGTTAAAAAAAAAAAAAAAAGTGTGTAAATCGGTTTTATTTTGCTTCCAACAGACGTCTTTAAAAGAGAAATAGTGTTTAATAACAGCCCTAAAAATAAAGTCTCACCTGTCACTCAAAGCTGCATCCTTTTTAGAAGTTGCCTTTTAAATATTTTTTAAAACCACAGTTCCTTGCACTAGTAGGATATTTGCCATTGTCAATCTGACACTGGTATGAAATGCAAAATAACATTATTATCTGTCTCCAAAAAGATAGCTTTTTTAAATGAAATAATCAATGGTGGCTTTTTTTTTTTTTTTTTTTTTTTCTTTTCTTTTAGCATTCCTATTTCTGTGAAGAAAAAGGTCCAATTCAATAGACAAGAGTACTTGTCATTCAAAGATTTTTCTCATGGCTAGGAATGTATGGGTCGATATCAGTTCAGAGGAAGACTAAATACCTCCAGGTACAAAGCTGTAGTGAGTGGAAATTAAACCAATGCATTAGAAAAATCCCTTATGTCTTGGTGCCTTCACTGTCTTCAGCTTCAGGATTTTTTAAGTGAACACCAATTTTTTTCTAGTTTTTAATAAGGTCTTTCAAGAAACTAAGGTGGTCTGAGATAATATTAAGAAGCTTCAGGAAAAAAAATTATAACTTACAACATTATTTGCACCTCAATTATTTGCATGGCAAGGCATTATAAAATATCAAAATATGTATTGCAAAACTTGCTGATTTCTTCTTGAGCATGTTTTATCTCTAGACAGTACATGGGTACCATATGTAGCCCAGATTAATGTTGTAAGTATTTATTTTAGCAAATATGATAAATAGCTGCATAAATCCCTATAATTGACCAGAATACAAAGCTGCCTGCAGATGGCTCTATTATCTTATAAACTCTGAGAAAGTTCCCTTTTTAAATAGATCTACTGTGCTATAGTTTTTGTAGCCCAGAATATCCTTTTCCATCTCTTTGACTGCCTTTCAGGGCATAGTGTTAGCTATTTGTGTACGAAAGAAGGAGGCTTCAATTAATACCAAAACCACGGTACTAATTAATTTTTAATACAATTAATTTTTGACTAAATTCCATAGAAATATTACACAGCATAATTCCTTATTGAACTGAGCCCTAAATTTAAGTAGCGTTTTTTCAAGCTATTTGGGAAATCATCTTTGTATATCTTTAGTCACTCTAAAACTGTGTAAGCAAAGATGGCTCCATAGAGATTTCACATATTAGCAATAGGAATTTTATTTAAAGTATGAAAAGTACTGAGCAATTTTCCTGGATATGAAAGCATATTAGTATACAAAATGAAATGTTTATGAAGCTGTTTTCTCTATGGTCCTGCTGTGCCTTTAGAAATCCTTCAATTTATTAATTTCTACCAGAATAATATGCTTGCTTCCTCATTACAAAGGACTCCTTTTTCTTTCTGAACTCTCACTTTTTTTTTTTTTTCTGAGAGAGCCAAAAATAAGATCCAAAATGTATATATCAGAATATTCCAAGGACAAGAATTCTGTGATCAGTATCGGTAATGGCTTCATTTGCAAGCATGAAAAATAGGTTCAAGGCCTTTAAAAGAGAAGTCTTTTGGTACGTCCAGTGGACCTGGGTATTTTGGAGTCTCCATCCTTGGAGATGCTCAAAAGCCATCTGGACACAGTCCCAGGCAACCATTCCCTGCTTGAACAGGGAGGGATGCACCAGGTCACTTCCAGAGATCCCTTCCAACCTCAACCATCCTTTGAGCCTATGGGCATATGAGCTTATCAGTAACAGTTTGGTGTCCCAAGTTCCAGCATGATTGTTGACATTATGCAGTGTATTGATTGAGAAGAAGTTACAACAATTTTGCCCAAAGGAAAATTTTCTGGTAAAATAGCAAGTAGTACAAATTTGTTGTTCATCAGAAGTTTTAGTTTTAAACCTCTTAATTTTATTTACTTCTTCCAGTTCAGATTTTGCAGAAGTAGAAGCATATATACCAGCCTTAGAGAAAATCCCATTGAAAAAAACTTCCTTTTTTCTTTTACCCCCTGTACATAGGTAAAAAAATGCAAATTACTAAAAGGCAGAATGTTACTGCTGAAAAAGGTATTAGCAAAAGCAGAGAGTTATGCTGCAAATCTCAGTTTATCCTTGCAGAATTCATGTCCTGCTGCTGTATGCATCCTGGCGTTCAACTTCTGACCTATCCAAATTCCTTAAGAGCCTTTCTCTGTCAAGGCTAATTTTACCCCACTGCTCTCTTCATGAGTGGGGATGGAAAGAAAGGTAACAAAATTATCTCTGCAGAACAAAGCTGAGGTTTCATGCAGCAAAATTGCTTAATCTGAAAAGCTCCTAAAAAATGTCACTGAGAAGGACTGCTTCCCATTGCCACTTGTAGTAATGCCTTCCAAAAGTGGAAGGACTTGCTTACAAGAGCCAGGTTGAGATTGCATTTGCCTCACTCCTTGCAACTGGAGAGCACAGGCTATTTTTGCCCGCTTATGCCATATCAAGACTATTCTAGGTGAAACTTGTTCCCAATGTCTGCTATGTATCATGTAATTTGCACTCAATAAAAAAGACCTAACTGAGCTTGTAAAGTTGATTATTGTTTTATCACAGGGGTGCTGCACACAACCTTCAGCCTTCAGATCCTGCCATACATTTCTACAGCTGCTATTACCAAACTACCAGTAATATGTTGCTGATCCACTTTTTCTGTTCCTTTGCTGGGGCTAAATGGTAATACCTTAGCTGCCAAAGCAGCAATAAATAGAAACTACAGGCAAAGAAAAAATATGAAAGATGATGGCTATTATAGCCACCATTTGCTCTAGGCATCCACAGACATCCCATGCTAAGATGTTATTCCAAAGAACCTCAGCATCTCCACATCAGCCTGGTGAACTACAAAGCACTGTCAGTGAGAGAGAAAAAAAAAACCTGCCACCATTTGCATAATTATGCAATTAAAAGCTTCAGTATAGGTACAAATAGGCTGCTTTTTGTTAGCTTATGTCTAGGTTGGAGGAGACAGAGCAAGAGGAAGACTGCCTATGCGGTACTCAGCATAGCAGAACTGTAGCACAAAGGCTCTACTAGAAGAGCTGTGTCTGTTGGTCAGGCACTCCCCCGATGGAAAATGTGGCCCATAAGGAAGCAGCAAGGAGTCAAGCATGTGCACAGGCCGTGCCTTCCCTTGCATACCCTTGTCTCTGCTGGGCTGCCCATGTTGCCTCTCAGATTTGATAATCCTAGAGGGAGTCTGGAAAGATGAGCAGAAACTTTTTCAAAATAAAACAGCCATGATCTGGAATAGACCCAATTTAAATTTATTCATTTAATCTTACTGCAACATCCAAAAGCACCCTTGCTCCCACATCTTTCTCGTGGGATGCTACCCCTCTTCCTGCGCCCTCACAGTAGCTTCTTTGCATGAACTTTGCTCTATGGGGGTGGTTGTAAGTCAAGGGAGGAGAAAATATTCTCACTATCCTCCCCAGCTGTTTTCATAGGAAGGGTTGGTGCAGACTGTTTTCACCTGTGGGACTTGCTTACTCCCACACCAGTTTCTCCATGGACAAAATCAACTTGAAGCCAGAATGGCAGTCACTTGCATTCTCTTTTTCTCTGCAATCACTAAGTCAAAAGAACATGTAGGGGAGGGAAATAGACTATATCCCAAGCCAGTAGTACCCTCTTCTCTTGGCTTTTTCCCAGCCTCCTTTTTATAACCTCTGTCTTTTCTGTGCAGGAAATGGCTCTTTCTAGTCTTGATGTTATGTTGTAAATGTACTAATACTGCTGCCTTGGGCTTTTGAGTGGAGAAAAGCATCCAGATTTCCTATCCAAAAAATCTTTTAATAACTTCCCTTGGATGCTGCTGTTTTGCCCAAGGCAGAGACTTGCATGGCACAGCTGGGACTGGAGAGGACAGGACTAGAGGAATAGGGCAGGGAGACTAACAGAAGGAAACTCATTGAAGCTAAAAGGAGCATGGCATTCAGGAGGCAGATTTGCAAGACTTTTGCCTGTTTTCCTCTTGAAATCAGACTGTTGAAGGGAAATAAGCAGAAAACAAGAGATAAGGGCAGAGTAGAAGACTTTTAATAGATGATTTTAAATAAAATTATCAATATTGTGAATGGCTTACACTTGTCAAAGGTGGTGCAGAATATCATTGTGTTTTGCCATTTATCCAGGGCATATGTTTAAAAAATATACAAATACTGTCCCATCAGGAGATTCAGTATATAGTATTTCTTTTTTAAGAAACAGACTGGCATTGAAACAGAGGTGCAAAAGTAACATAATACATTCACAAAACATGTTTTAAATAAGTTTCTAAGCATGCTTTCTACTGAAACCTATTTTTAAAAAATCAGTTTTACATCTATAAAGACGTAGTACAAAAATGCAATTTTACAAGCCATTTTTTCCAATAGCTATGCCATTTAAGTTGCAGCATTCTTCCAACATGATGTATATATTTAAGTGGAATAATATTAAGTATTTAAATATAAAATTATGAAGTTTGAGAATATAAATATAGAGATAAAAATACATGCAGTGCAAAATAAATAATTAATCAGCTTTATATATAAGGAAATGTATAATATTATACAAACAATATATACAAGATTATAAGATTTGATCTTATAGTAGCAATCTCAGTGCAGTAAAAATTTTACTTTGTGGGGTTACTCATACACTCAAATCAGATGCACAAGACTACCCTGCTGAAATAGCTCTTGATTGTAATGGTTCCTGACTGTAACAGGCCCCACAGAAAACTTGGTGTGAAAAACCTTGGGGTTTAGTTTTATTCTTGTGAGCTGAGATACTGTTGGCATTCTGGGTCTCCTTTAATTTTTGGAGATCCAGGAATTCTTCTGCCGTTTTTTGGGTAGACACACCAGCATTCAGCAGATTCTCCATCCAGCAAAGTTTCACACTAGAATATTATTAGCAAAAAAAAAAAAAAAATCACAATAAGTAATTGTAAGATTACCTGTGAGGTACTGCCAATAGAGGTGTTGGACACAATTAGGATCAGAAAGTGGGGACCTACCATGCACAGGCTTGTTTTGAATGCAGAGCCTCTAAACAACACACTTGGTTAGGGAATCAAGACCTAAGCTTATCTATCACAAGAGCAACTTCAGATTTAAAACTGTCCAGTCCTTGGTAAACAGCAGTATCTTCCAGATACAGAAAACAGCTATATCTTCCAGTGCCGGTGTGAGAAATGGAAGGATGGCAGAATATAAACCTCACAGGGTGAGAGCAATGATTGAATTTTCTGTCTCTTCACACAAGGAGACAACTAAGGTGGTATGTTCTGGGCTTTTTTCTTGGGGAGGGGCTAAAACAGGTTTCTGTTTGTGCTTGATTAGATCTTAGGTCACAGTGTTTGTTAGTCACACCGTGATGCCATGCCCAAAACTAAAGAGTTTTGGTGACACAGATTTATGCAGACCTATTAATTTGTGTGCATGACTGTGGTTATAGGGCCTGGCTTGAGGTTCGGAGCTTTAGTTAGCTTTGCAGATTGCTCTCACTGTAACTTTAACTTGCAATAGATTTTTTTGAGGGCATAATGGAAATGAGCAAATAACCTAATCCACAGGCAGCACAAATCAGTATTTTTGTTATGCTTTCAGAAGGTTAATTTTGCTCCAAAGAGCTTTTTTCACTGCCTATGAGCTGATAGCCTTCATTTTACATAGTGATTATTACATATTCAATAGGTTTTGGCAGGATATATGGCGAATATAATGAATTAATGTCAGCCGAGTGAATGCTAACAAATCAAGTACATGGGAGCAGATAGCGTTAAAATATTTTGGAAAAGGCTTTGCGTGCACCTCTTTTGTGAAAGGAAAAGACTTCTGCCTCTATTGCTGACAGCCACCAGCATGCAGCTCACCCTGAAGTTTTCACAACTTGCTACAAACTTCTGAGCTTGGAGCAGAGGGCTGTGAAAGGGTTGGCTGTCACCAGGCTAGTTGCAGCGCTGCTGTGAGCAGAGAGGGGGAAAAAGGCACGCACCTGTTTGCTGTGGTAAAATCCATTCCTGTTGCAGTTGGGCAAGTAAAATTTGTAAATCTCCCCTCTGCTTCTCTGCTGAGCCTTCACCAATGTATACAGGGATCTGTAGAGCTCCTTCTGACAAGGACCCTGAAAGAATACCAGGGCAGTGAATAACAAAATCACAAGTAAAGAAACTACACAAAAAATGATCAGAATATAGATAGTAAAGAGCAGATAATATTTATTAGGCATAAAGTCTACACCAAACTGTTTTGCATGTAGTTTTTCTTCTTTCAGTAGGAGCACAGACAGAAAACTCTGCTGTTGCATTCAGACCTTTGTTTTTATTCACTGAAGTTTTTTCTGTTCTCATAAACATGAAGATTTTAGTCCTTAAATTGCCACTCAAGAAAATTTAACCTGTAATAAGTAAACACATTACTGCTTAGAGGATACAATCTCTCCTCTTATGGGGAGGTGGAAGTTAGAAAACTGGTACATGAGATTGGTCATGTTAGGTTGCCATGACCTTGTGCTTTGTTGATATATTGAGGATAGTTGCAAGACATAAATAGATGGTGCAAGAACAAACATCTGAATGTTTATTATCTTTTGAAGAGGACAGAACTGTTGCCAAAGAAACATGGATCCATTCTGTAGCTCTGGGACCAAACCCCAAAGTTCTTGGAACTGGGAATGAAGAACTGTTTCCAATATTGACTGTTTTCACAATTTGCTGGCTCTCTTTTTCAAAGTCACAATTTCTGTACATCAATAGTATCTAACACATTTGAATCAGAACAAGAAAGGAAAAGTAACTGAACAAGTATTTCTGCTTTTGAGTGAAAACATAACCTCTGCTTTTGCAAAACCTCCCCATGTTAGCCCCTCATATAAGCTGCCATATTCCAGTCTGTGGGTTTATCTGTGGCTCTGGGTGAGAAAAGCAGAAGCCCTGAAAATCAGAACTGCAGCTAACAGCACATGTACATAACAGTTTAAACTAAATCAGTGATTAAGTCCTGTTCTGGATATGGAATGAGACTTCCTAAGGTAGGGTGGTGATTAGTATATTTTTTCTTTTTCTTTTCCATTTTGTCAGTGACCATTATGAACCTAGGCTTCTGTGCTGCCCAACTAACCCAGCTCCATAATGCAGGGGTGCTGCTGCCCTCTGGAACTGGTCTAATCGTGGTTCTCTGGTGCCCTCAAGTGGAACATAAAACTGCTTGTAAAGGCCGTACATTCTCATTACCCACTAAGATTTTGCAGTGTTGAACCCCACTTTAATTGTTGAAGTTTTTTTTCTTTCTACATGAATATACTTAATAGTGTTTCCTTGTGATCAGAAAGAATTACATTTTGTTTTGCACTGATGTTTCATCAATAACTACATAGAAGGACTCACTTTTATATTGCTGTGTGTTGGACCAGAGAAAAATGCCTTTTCTTAATAAAACTAAAAAGAAGTCCAAGAATTTAATATAGATTCCTGAAAATTAAGGGGGAAGGTTATAATCTGATCATAAATATGGTGAAATATTCAGTCTCTGCATGAAGTCTGTTTAGAACATACGTGATGCACACCTGTTATTATGGCTCCAGACATTTTGTCTGTTCCGCAACCATCTGATGAGCACATTCCAAAAGCTGGTTTGCCAGTTACCTGAAATACTGATATTTCAATGTTGCTGCTAGAATTTTTTTTTTGCAAGCCTCTACTGAAATGGTCTCTGAAAGTTTAACAAAGAAAACCCACCTGCTCTTTCAATTTATCGAGTTCAGATATTCTCTTCGCTTTCATGTATTCATACGTGCTGATGGAATTCCAGGGAACGGATTTATCCTGGCCTATGGGAAACATCAACTGATAGTTCAGCAGCTGATCCTGTGTTATTTCAGTGCTTTCCAGAGGCATATCATCAGGTTCTATAGAATCTGGAAGTGAATGATATTAAGATAAACATCCTCAGTGAAATTTGGCATTTATTTCTCAAAGTTTAAAAAGGTGAAGAGAAAGATCAATCAAAAGAAAAGTAATATCTAAGACATTGATTACAGTAGATCCTGTAGGAATAAATTACATGTGCAGTATGGCAAATTATACTTTGATAATAAATTCAAAGTATAGGGTGCAGCAGCTGTTCTCTAACAAATTGCTTATTTTATGATCCTTCAAAATTACTTGAGTACCAAATATGAAGTTGCAGCCCATCTGTTAGAAGCGAAAAAAAACCTTGACTACAGTGGGTTGTAGAAACATGGCTAAATGAGAAAAGATTGAAGTTAAACTTGTAATGAATTTAGATTTTTGTCAGCATGATATATTTCTGGTTTTAATTATGAGAGGAAGTGGTCAAGACCTCATCCCATGGTATCCTGCTCTTTGCTCTTTGCTCTTGCCTTATAAATAAGAAAGGGAGCAATTCACAGGGGCCAGAAGTAGGTCCTGCTGACCTGCAGTAGACCAAATAGCAAAAACTGGCAGAAAATATTTGTTTCTGCCTGATCATGGCCTTCATACCAGTGCCTCAATCAGCATGTGTGAACTCGTCCTCTGAAAGCAAGAGAACCTCTTTGCAATTGCAGGCAATTCATCATAGAATAAAAAGAAGGAAGAAGGAAGGAAGGAAGGAAGGGAGGGAGAAAGGGAGAAAGGGAGAAAGGAAAAATCAAATCAAATTTAATGCAGGTAGCTTAAATACTACAGTTTTGTCAGTTTGGTCACTGTGCTCTGCCTTCCCCACCCCCTCAACTACAAGAAAATTCTTAACTTACTTCTACTAATGGCTATTGTTATTTTGAGTCAATGAAGATTATTTTTGTAATGCTGCTGAGTTACCTTCATCACCACTTCACAGACATAGCAGTAGTGATGATGAAAATAATAATAATAATCATAATAATAAATTGAAAAAGAATGAAATAACACTGAAGAAGTTCATGCCCATCATACAGTCTAAGATGCTTGAGATACCTTTTTGCCTCAAGATAATTTGCCTAGCACTCCACTGCTCCCAGTACATTTTATTCCCAGGCACAAAGCCTTTTTATTCTCTATCATGACTTTTAGAGATGGACATAACCAAAGCCTATAAAACATCTGCCCTACTCCAGCTACTGTCTGCAGCCTCCCAGATACTTTATGGTATTCTGCATTGTCCCATCACTATGCTTTAGGGTTTTTGTGCTTTCAGACTGTAGTGTACTAGCTTGTTGCGAACATCTCAGGCCCGGCACCAGGATGCACCTCACCTCAAAGAGGTCAGAGCACGTTTCCCTAGAAAGTGCATTCCAGCTTCCCTCTATTTCAGACGCCTGCCTAACTTCGCTCATTGTTCCTAGCTTCTGGGTCCCACAGCTCGCGTCGCGCCTGCCAATCCCTCCGGCTGCCCTCGGCGAGGGCTGTGCCGAAGCGCCCGGCGCGCAGCCCCCGACCTGGCCCGTGAGGCGGCGCGGAGCGGGGACGCGATGGCGCGGTACCTGCCGGCTCTTCTGTGCGCATCCTTCCGACCTCGCTGGCGGGCAAGCACGTCCCGTGCCCCTGGATGAGGGCGGAGAGGGGCCGGGACTCACCGGTGGGGATGTGGCAGCGAAGCCCCAGGCGGCAGCGGGCGGTGTAGACCCCACAGGGCTGCCCCGGCCCGAGGGCGCAGATCTGACAGCAGCCGCAGCCGGGCTGCCGGGCAGCCTCCGGGCAGTCAGGCGGGACGGGCGGGCACAGAGCGAGCCTCTCCGGCGTGCAGGGGGCGCAGAGCACCGGCTGCGCAGCGCGGGCGATGCGGGCGGCCGGCAGGGCCGGCAGCTGCAGCAGCAGCGGCGGAAGCAGCAGCGCCGGGAGCCAGCCGCGGCACAGCGCGCACCGCGGGCCGCTCATGCCGCTGAGCAGGGGCCGGAGAGGGAGCAGGAGGCACCTCACTCACATTCGGCTTGCCCGGGCCATTTATACAGTGCTTTGCCTGAGTATTAATCTTTAACCCCGAGTTAACTATTATATGAACAGGAGGGCAGGAGAAGTGTCGTTTCACTGGCAGTTCAAGTCCCTGGCCGCTGTTCCCCCCCTTTCACTTCCTCCTTTATCTATTTTCTTTCCTCCAGACATGCAGGAATGCTTTTATTCCCTCACTCCCACCTCTTTGCCCCAACACAGTTAACGAGGAAAAATATGGTGGGGGCTGGAGACAAACTTGGCAGAAGGGAATGGATGAGTGGAGGCTGTCCCCTCCCTTTTTGCTTGTCACAAATGTCTCCTGTTCTTGACTTTTCATAAAAATGTAGAAGTTCAAAAAGCAAGAGGGGAGGGGTGGGGGGAGGAGGGAAATCCCATTGAAACTGAAGCAACTGAATTAATATTTCCACAGCAACAAATGCAACAAACCCTTGTTTAATTTTCATCATGTGGCTGCAGGTTAGGAGTACACTGACATACCAAAGAGGAGGCCTCAAGGGTAATAAAGCCATCAGGATCTTGTAACTACTGCACACATGCACGTAGGAGTCCTTGCATTAACCTCTGGGGGTGGCTGTGCAGCTGAAGCAGGATCTCGTGTGCCTCTGCTCAGTTTTGCTCCTGGAGTGAGAGAAGGATCAGTCCTCAAAACATGGACTTCAGGGAAACCAGTATTTTTTCAAACAATTAAAAAATAAATTAGATACTTGCTTTTCTGTCTGTCCTTTTAACACTCTCCATCTCCTCATGTATCACCTAGGGGAGGTATAGGTGGGAAATCTTTCCTTTTCAGCTTTGCCTGCAACAGTTATCATTCTAGTAACAGAAAAAGTACTCAAACTTCACTGTGCTGACCAGATTTTTTTATCCTGGTATTCACAGTATGTACCAAGCTTGAAATAGAACATTCCACTGCAAAGTCATGTAATGCAGCATGATTTTTCATGTAGTTGTGGGTTTTTTGTTACATTTATTTATCTTCTTTTGTAATTACATCATTTATGTGAAAGTAAGTGAAGCAGAACTGCAGATCATGTTTAATGTTGTTATTCGCTCTGATCTCTGATATTGATGCCAAAGGTTTTATTTATAATGTAGTGATTTCTTACCCCTCTATATTCATAAGTCAGCTCTCAAAAGCATTCTTATTGATTACAGACTTGAAACATTTTCACTTAGCTACTTTTTTTTTTTTTTTAATTCAGATACTTTCGGGCATCTCTATCTAGATACACCAAAATTGAAACTCATTAGCATTTTAAAGTACTTTAAAGAAACCTAATTTTACAGATTTTAAAATAATTCTGTGGACTTCGCATGTCTGACTGGGAGTAAATTTTGGCTGAAAATGTAGGGCACAACGATTGCAATTAGACTTTTCAAGCTCTTTTCCCACTTTCATTTCTACTTTTTCTTGTGCATCTATCTTGGAAAACCATGACTCTCCTACCATTCAAAATGAAGTGAAAAATATACAGGAATGTGTCTATTTCCTCTCCCAAAGAGAAAAAGGAAACAATGCAAAACAAAGTCTCTTTCATGAAGAAATGTGGAGGGAAAAAAAAAAAAAAAAAAAAAAAAAAAAAAAAAAAAAAAAAAAAGAATGGAAAGTAGGCCAAGTTGTAAAGTGATGAAGATCCAAAGAACTCATATGCATTTGTTTATGTGTATGTGTGTATTCCTTCACTTATCTATGGTTTTTGTGGTTTAGACAGCTTTTTATTAACTGAATTGAAGATCATTAACTGACTGCTTAACATAAGCTACTGGCCTCTGAAATTTTTGGACTCCAGCCTGCCACTGTCCTGCCTGCAGTTTTTCTGTCTAAAAAACTGAGGTGAACTGAGAGTAAACAGATTTTAATTTTATAAGTGAAATTATTTTTAAAAAGGATTTCTTAACTCATCACCATTATTTTAAAGTAACAAGACAAAGACACAATGCAAGAAGAGCATGCTTGTCTGATGTACAGGCCTACATAAAAAAACTACTGTTAATTTCAAAAAAATGTCATTCTTCCCATGCATCATCATGTTTTCAGGTCTTTGACAAATTTTTCCTTGCTGTCAGGCAGCTGGCAGTATCTGAACTGCTCAGGCAGTTCCTAAGAACTTGCAGCCTTTTACAAGTCAGATTTTTTCAGTGTACCCAGTAAGAGAAACAAAAGATAAACAACAGTCTTCCCCACAAAGTAAAGTGGTTTTGGTCTGTTCCCTTTATGGTTCCATGTGCACTTGAAATCATTTCCCAGCCCTTTTTTCACTTTCTATCTTTTGTGAAATCAAATTGAGGAAACCCAGAAGTCTGCTAAAGTAAATTTTGTGAGATGTTCTTCTGTACAAAAAGTAGACCCATAAAAATCAGTCCCTTCATATTTCATTTATGTAAATGTAATGAACATATGTTAGAACAGGTTATGATAACTTAGGGCAGTATCAATCAACCAGACAATGCTTTTGTATAGGCTATGGGACATCAATGAAGTGAAAGTAGTGTATGTGATTATGTAGACCCTATATGATGTAATACAACAACTCATCTACCAATCTCCATCTCTGACCCTGACATTTCTTTAAAGAACACAAACAGATAAAAGCCTGGAGGTTAAAAACTTTAATGATGTAAGCTTGTGTTTGGTGAAGACTTTTGATGGCAATTTTTAGGTTTTTCAACTGTTGACTCCGAACTTGAACCACTTGTGAAAAGACACCACATGAATCTCAGGCATGGATTACTTTTTCTGCAAGATTTTCCTGTTGGTTTCTCAATAATTCTTAGTCAATGAACTCACTTTGCATGATAAATAAACATTGGGATTTTTAAATTCTTTTTCTTTAAAGTCATATGGAGTGACTCACAGAATGTAAAGTTCTATATACATTTGGGTATATGTCGTTTTTATCCAATAATTGCCAAAAATTCAAGTAACTTGCTAAATAATTTTCTCCTTATCCGCATATGTTTTAAAAAAGCCCAAATAAACAGTGGAATATCCTCATTATCTTTTTCTAGGTAAGAAACTAATTCTAAATTTTAAGCTTAATACCTGTGGTGGTTTTGTTTCACTAATTTGAGATTTCTTGGCTAATGTACTAATTAGTGTGGGTTCAGTCCTGGCCAATTATTAGTGCACTCACTAGAATGTACTTAATTATTTCTTGCTGTGATATAGGATTAGGAGAAAGACAAAGCAGGCTCAAAACTTTAAAAGGGTATAAAGAAAAATATATTAATAGCTACTAAAAGTGTAATAAAAATCAGAACACAACCTTCAGAACACTTCTCCTGCCCCTACAACCTTTTCATTCCTACTGATAATGTAAAGAAACAAAACCTAAAATTTCCAGTCAGTTTACCACCTCTAGAATATTTCTTCTTTAATTCACTTAGGGAGAGAAGTCCCTCTTGTTAATGTCATGAAGACTTCTCCACAAGAAAACAGTTCTTTCATGGCTTTTAATTTCCACAAATAACAGCAGCCCGTGGAAATCTGCAATCGTGAAATCCTTCTTATTTTCACAGCGTCTCCTACAGCAGTGTTTATGGGCCATGTCAGCTTATGGGGTACTGTTTTAAAATGAGTTGTTCAAAAGCAAAGGTTCTCATTATCAATCTCTGAAATAATCTCTAGGAACAGAGATCTTCTCTTCCTGGGGGCACAGGATCTTCATCACTCTTCTCTCCTTCTCTGTTCGAACTTCTCATAGGATCACAGCTACTTTAACATCTGCTTACTTTATCATGGAGGCCTTTTCACACTTATCTACAATTTGAACACTTTCATCTCCCCATACTTTCATGGGTTATAGGGGGAAAAAAGAGTGGTTCTCCATATCTTTACAGGAGGATTTCAGCCTAAAACTAAAGGTTCATCCCTCCTAAGTAGGACTTGACTTCTTCACGGACCTCAGTGTTTTCATGTTGTTTCTTTACGTGTCTGCACTTCTGACATGTTCTCTCACTCAAGGGAGGATTGAAGCACTAAAAGAGTTAATATCTTGCCTGGGGCCTGTAGATGGTCGTGTGTGTGACCCCGGCTGGACTCGGTAGCTTGTAGCAGGAAGTGTGGCTGGGGGTGTAGGAGCTAGGATCCCAGCAGGCAGCACACCGGGGCGGATGACTTCTCCTGCCCCCTGCACGGCAGCCAACGGGAGGGTCTGGCAGGCATCCTGCGGCAGCGGCTGCCTGGCCCGGCCTGGCCAAGACAGGGACAGGGCTGCCTGTGTTACCTCTTTGCAGGCTGGAAGGGAAAAGAAGAGTTCCTGGGTTTCTTTCGTCTTTAACATGTGTTTTTAATAGAAGCGTGTATAGCTTTTCAATGGTTTAACAGATTATCAATTCCTGAAACCAAATACTGATTGGTTTCCTATCAGACATAGAAGAAACTGCTAACTAACTTCTGTGATGCAAAACTAACACAATATCCAAAACCACTGTGATGCACACACACATATACCACACACAAATGGCATCAAGCATATGAAGAGAAACAGTTTCTTCTCTGATTTTATTCCATATAAAAGAATGCTTTATTTCAGCTGTGTGGGTTATCAGGAATTCCAGTCAATTGATTGTGCTTAGGTTCTTGATGAATAATTTGATTCACATATTTGTTAATTGTTGTCATTTTGTAGCAATGACATATAAGCCATTTGGTTTTATTTATCTATTCTGATATGGTAAATATGACTTTTAGCATTAAATTCTGGATGCAGAGAAGGACATGTTCCAAGTTTGTGTTGCACTAACTTTTGGAAGCAGACTGACTTTTGCAATTTTGCCCCAACAATGAATTTGGCTGAAATGTGGGAAATAACTTATAAATACCTAAAACTAAATCTGCAGAAACTCTAGTGAGAGGCTGTCTCATGGTGAGTCTAGCTAGGAAAGGCTTCTATGGAGTTTCTGCATTAAATCATGGGTCATAAAAAAAAAAAGAGAAAAATGTAGTTTATCTCCTTGGTGGCACCCAAAGTGTCTGAGCACTGAGTAAAACACCTTGTTTGCAATGTTTTGCATACATAGACCAGCCAGAAACTATTTTTACAAATGGTTGCACTCTTCTGGCAAGAGAGGCTAAAGTTCTTTAGTCATCCTTCTATGGGTTGCTACTTTC